GATGTGACATTGTTTCATCAAATGTGTTGCCACAGCTAACAGGACCCATTTTTTTAGCAAGACAATGCAAACATAACAAGGGTGTCACAGGAATGCCTTCGCCACCTTTCTCTGTCCTGCTCGATTCTCTGAACGAGGGACCACCTGGGATGGTAAGTCTGCAGTTAGTGTTTTTGCTGCAACGCAATGATAACAGACATCAATGCCCAACCGTATTGCGTCCTGCATATGGGTTAGAATTGTCATAAGAAGCAAGGTAGTAGTCGGGGGGGATATGGTAAGAAGCAAGGACGGTTTCACACATGCAAAGTAGGGGAAAAACATTGTAACAAATATTGTTTATTCTGTTGTTTGCAAAAGTTAAACTAGTAATTAATTAATATTACATAATAATTATTTTTCAATTAATATTGCATAATAATTATAATCAATTTGTAAACAAAGTTTACAAAGACATTCGACGGGGATTTGAAAAAAATTTTTCGATTACTTTTTTAGGACAAACTGAAATATTCCGAAATATTCTTAATAAAGTTAGTTAATAAAAGGTTTGATCCGACAGTTTTTGTTTTTCTTTTTACTGAGAGGCTCAAAGAAAGACTAAAAAGTTTCAATCCCAGAATTTCGGGGGGGGGATTTGTCTCGACGTTCCCCCCCCCTAGCTACGGGCCTGCTAAGAAGGTACTAAAACCTCCCCCCCCCACAATAAATGACGGATTTGATTTAGTTTTTTAATCGGATATCAACGTTGCACTTGCTCATGCTGACTCCATTCTGACAACTCTTTTTAGGTGCGCTAATTTTATATTGCAATGAGTGTAATGACGTATTCATTTTCTTTCCCCAATTGAATATATGTAGAAATTAAGTTTTATTAAGCACAATTAAAAATTTTTTTATTAAACGTAATTAGGATTTCTTACAAAATGTAGAGAGCGATGGAACTTAAGTGGGTGGAACTTACCAATTCGCCTTGAAGCTGTTTCTGGTCTGCTTTGTAGCCGTGGACTAAAATTTTGGTAGGTAAGGTTGAATTGAACGGAGAGGCTAGAATAGAGTTCCTGGAATCCTTCAGTGTATAAGGATTCATCGAATATTGTGGACCGAATAGATAATATTGGACGTCCTCCAAGTCTTCAGGTAAAGCACTGTAGGGCCTTAGCAGTGGTTCATACCAAGGCGGACCGTTGTTGAAGCACTCGACGCCTTTTATGCATTTCGTCTGTGAAAAGACTGTCAAAACAAATAATAATTTTTTTTTAAGAACAGCGTTTTAAATTACCAACGGTAAAATTTTTTATTAAATCCCATTCGCTACGTCATGAGTCTCCATTGTTCATCTATCTCAAAATAGTTGCTAAATTAATTCATATTATTGCATTTCCCTTTAATATTAAGTTATAAATTTCAAACTCGGACCCTAAGTAGGGGTCCACGTTCCAAACATGCCCGCCGAAGGAAATTGTTATAGGTGAATTAGGGNACTCAAAAAGTACGGTGATCTTACTACAGTTCTCCCGGCTTCTCACAAAACAGCAATGATTCAAATACTGGTATCCGTTCATCGAATTCTATCACAGACATAATTCTGGTAGAGGAGTACTGTAGTGTATCTACCACCACGAAAATATTATTCCAATTCCCTAGTATATAAGACATGTTAACTCGATTGTATGTTGGGGCACCTTTTCATAGATGAAGGTTGACATTGTCGATATCTACTATCACCACATTGGTGACCTGGACGTGATGTGAAGACGCCTACCTGGACAGGAACTCTCACTTCGATTTGAATACATCTACTTCGGCTTATAATAAAGTTATTTTAAAAAAGTTTAAGAAACTAGAATTTGATAAAATATAAAAATCAATGCACAAAAAATTCTAATTGTACTTACGGTAAAAATAAGTATGGCAAGTTCTTTTGTAAATGTCGCTCATGGTACTGAGCATGTCAAAAGAATGACTGTACGTAATGGTGCAAACCACAATCCACAAGACGATAATTTTACTGAAATCCATTTTCGCCTGAGAAGAGATAATTTTTGAGAGAAGACGGAGATAATTTCTTACACTTTACAACATTTACCTGATAAAAAGTGAAAATAATCCTCCACCTATTTAAAAGAAACTATATATTTTACACAGTTGATTTACATTCAGGTGTTTTTAGTAATAATTTGATAGGAAAAATAAAATTAATTTTTTCTTCTTCTTAGAGGTCGGTCATCCAAAAGCATTCGATTGGCAAGCGAGTAATTTCGGTTTTAAGTATAGAATTAAACTCAATATTTTCTAAATGAAAAATTAAATTTAATCAGTCAAATATTCCGTACGATAATCTTTTTTGTCGTCCTTTATTTGAACCCGCGCTTGTAGGACTCCATTTCCTTATTAGCAAAAAAACAAAAGCTCAACAAAATACAATTTTCAGAGTTATCGATGAAACCCCAAAGCGATAAGACCCTATTACT